CAGCAAGCTGCTTTGCGTTTATTAGACAGAGTAGTGTTGTGTACACTCTTACAAAAGATGGTTCTTTAAGGGTTCTTTAGTTAAGAGAATGGTTCTATATGGAAACACGCACACTCAAAGAACCATCTGCATGCTTAACGTGTCCTTGCATGGAGAAATGGTTCTTCAGACTGACGGAGTATACTGTATATGGTTCTATGTACAATAAGGGTTCTGCTATTGATTCTGATGTCAAGCTTGTAACAATATAAGAGCCCTTTTTGATGCTATATAGAACCATACACTCTAAGAAATATAGGTACTAAACTGTCACTGGGGCAGTTCCCCTCTTGTCACTGGGGTGGGACCCTCAAGGGTACAGCTCAGTACCTTTAGTCAGGGAACATAACTGTACCATAATCCATTGAAGTTATATTGTCTAAGTTGTACTGACTCCACACACCCCGTCTCGTCTCCAGGCTTTTATTTTACTGTTCTGTTTTAAAATATTCGGTTATGAAAAGGTGCAAATACAAACTTTTCACCTGAAAAAAACTTATTTAAGGTTCACAATTAGACCTTAAAACCACTGTTGTACCTCTGAGGGCACATTTACTTTGTACCTTGATGAAAGAAAAATGTACCTGCGCAGAACCTTTATTTCTAACAGTGTACACAACACATTCTCCATCTGAAGACCCATTTCACAATGCAAAAAACCATTTAACCCTGAACTGGTTCTCCATAGAACTGATGGTTCTAAATAGAACCATTGCGTTTACTAAAGAGAATCTGAGAGATAAGAGAAAGAAAAAGACTGTAGCTGTTAAAAGCCTCAATGTTCTGATGTCTACATTCAGTTCACAGGCCTCCCAGAAGAGTAGAGGCTGTTATTGCAGCAAAAGTGGGGCAAGCAGGGTTGCGGGTCCTTCTCTTCAGCCTCTACACTAATGACTGCTTCTCCAAAGAACCAGCTGTGAAAAGCCTGAAGTTTGCTGAAGACACCATTATGGTGTCACATCGCTCGATACCTCATAGTTTGCCTACAGAAAGGAAGTCAAGCAGCTGGGCACCACCTGCTGCTGAACACGCATAAGACTGTGGACTTCAGGTACAACCTTCCTCCCCCCCTCAACATCAGTGGCTCTGTGGTTTCCACTGTGGAGTCACTTAAACGTCTCGGCACCACCACATCCAGGGATCTGAAGTGGGAGAGGAACAGGCTCTTCATTGCCAAGAGAGCACAGCAGAGAAGCTTCATCCTGAGACAGCTGAAAAAACCTGATGCTGAGCCTGATAATCCAGTTCTACACAGAGATCGTCGAGTCCATCCTCACATCATCCATAACCATCTGGTTTGGTTCCTCCACCTCGCGAGAATGAACCAAGCACATAATCAGGACAGTGGAGAGGATCACTTCAGGACATCTACAGCAGCAGGGTGACAAAGTGCGCCAGCAAAATAACAGCTGACCCCTCTCGTCCTGGACATCAGCTCTTCCAGACACTCCAATCTGGTAGAAGATTCAGGCCCATGGAAACCAGCACAGCCAGACTTGCTAACAGCTTTTTCCCCAGAGCTGTAGGGTATGTGTGTGTATATGTATGTATGTAAATATATCAAATCTTTATTTATTTTATTTATTTTTTTGGATTTTCCCCAATTTTCTCCCCAATTTAGTCGCATCCCCCAATCACAAAATACCACCAGCGCTAGGAGGTGAAGGCCAGCACAGGCTTCCTCCAAGACCCTGTGAAGAGCCACCACATCTTTTGGAACTGCTGCTCATGTGTTATGATTAAAGTAAGTTCATACAACAGTTTATTACACTGAGTGCACATGCAGACACCTTAAAGTGGCTTTTTAGATCATATTTGCTGTATAAAGACCCCCACCTTCTCTTATACAGTCATTTTCCCCCAAATTTTGGTGCACAATTTCTTTTCGTTATTCTGAAAAATAAAACACGAAATATAAACAGTGCCATAACTTTTGCACAGTCCACATTTTACATTTCCTCTTCCCTCCCAGTGTTTTAAATTCAGCAAATAAACAGTAGCAGTGCATTAAGATGTGTAGAGGTGTGTTCTATGTAGAGGATGTGTTCACTTACTTTCACCTAGAACCCATGTGTCAAACACAAGGCCTGTGGGCCAGATCAGGCCCTCGACACAGTCCTGTATATAATATTAGGTTGTTTCACAATGCACTGGACTACAGTCCCCAGCATGCACTGCAACGTAATGTGTGCTCTGACTCACCTACACCAACAACAGTCTATGGGACGGCAGTTACACCTCAATTCTATACAGTTCTACACAGTTCCACACCGGTCATATCACCAAACAACTAACTACAGTTCAGCCAATATGAGCACTTAATGTCAGCTCAGCAGCTCAGAAACTGAGCCCTAGTCTTAATGAACTTGCAGCAAAGGAAGGATTCTAGTTTAGGGGTCTAGTTCAGGGGTCCAGGGGTCTAGTTCAAGCAAACAGGCAGGTCTGAAAGACTGAGCTCCTGGGGACATTAACATTGTGAATAGTTCAAGTATTCATGTAATATTTCAAGATCTACAATAAGGGTTTATATTTTACTGTTGAAGTTTTTATGTATTTTGAATAAACAATGGTCAGTTTGATTTTTAGCAAAATGCTAATTAAAAAGGAATTAAAAATGCAGGCGTCCTCTGCCCCACAGATTTGTTGAGATTCTTTAATACGGCCCTTTTAGTGGTCGAGTTTGACACCCCTGACCTAGAAAATCAACTAAAAGTCCTGTCATTTGGACAGGGGCGCGCAAACTTTTGCGTATGACTGTAGAGGGCAGAGTCAGCTCAGAGTGAAACACACTGCACCACCATCACTGCCACTGCTGAAAACACAGGCAGGCATAACGCTGACACAGCACACGCTGCACGGCACATGGAGAACTGCATGAGGGCATCTGCATGAGGTGAGGACCGAAGCATTGTGGGATTTGTAGGCTACACTACGGTGAGATCTTAAATCTTGTCCGTTTGTCTAATATTTCTCATTATGAGTGTGTAAGATTAGAGAAGGCACTGATCTGATATCAGGTATCGGAGTCGGTTTGAGTAGTTTGAGCACGATAGTCTACATATAAACAATTACCTTAAAGGGAAACTCCACTGATTTTTTCAAAATTTCTGATTCTGTCAGTGTTCGAGATGTAAAGTCACTCAGAGTGTTTTGGTGTGAAATATTTCAAAGGACGCTTCAGTAACTTTTTAAAATCCCAGGATTATTGCATGGTTTATGAATCTCTGTTTCTGCTAAAGTTGGTTAAAATGTTGATTTTGATACTGATATCGAAACAACAACTTTCTTTATCTAAATATTGACTTTGCATCTTGGAGTAATAAATTAGTATCTTGAAATAATGACTTACTTTCCTGAAATATTGATTTAGTATCTCGAAATGACTTATTCTCTGGAAATATTGATTCAGTTTCTTGAAATATTGACTTTTTTTTCAAAATATTGATTCAATATCTCAAAATAAGGCTTACTTTCTCTAAATATTTATTTAGCATCTCAAAATAATGAATTATTTTCTTGAAATATTAATTTACTATCTCGAAATAAAGACTTATTTTCTCAAAATATTGATCCAGTATCTTAAAATAATGACTTATTCTCTCGAAATAATGAGTTGATACAATTCCAGTGAGTCAGAAAGTCATTATTTCGACGCAGTAAGTCAATATTCTGACACACTGCTGCCAGAAACAGCGTCCTCTACCTGTCAGAATGAGCTTCCATCCTTTTTTACCTTAAAAAAGTATAAATTATATGAACATATTAGGATACAGGGAAAAAGTTTACACTGGGAACAACTTAAAACCTCTGCAGCAAAACAGCTCTGGTGCCTCTTTTACACTTCTTATGTGGTCACCGCTGCGGGCTGGTCCGAGTCCCAGCCCTTCATCATTGGGCGGTGAGAGCGCAGACAGCCCGGGCTGAACAGGGCGGGACTCCATGAACAAGGGCACTGCAATGTCTATGGCGGCAGAGTCCCAGCACAGACCAGGGGAGGAGGCTCGAGCAAGGCTGCAAGCATCGCTGTGAATAGCAATCATTAATAAAGGGCCAGAGCCAAAGAACCCGTCCCACACGAGCGGTGCTTGGAAGGCAGTCCACGTCCACAGTTAACCAGGCGGCAAGAGGGGGCGAGCGTTTCAGCACCACGGCGCGGCGGACAGCTCCTCCCGCCAACACCGGGCGCCTATGGGGCTTTCCTGCTCTGCCAGATCGCCAGCTCGTGCGATCATCAGCCCTTATGAACCCGTCCTCCAACCATCAGTCCCAACACTGCAGCACGAGCACGGCTAAAACGGCCAGAAGCCAGTCATTCAGTAGGCCAGTGGAACTGTAGTACAGTGCTTTTTTTACTCGCACTGACTCAGCGATAGAAACGATGCCAGGTCGCCATGGCAACAAGGGATGCAAGCTGGATGCTCACTCGGCATTTTGCACATCTGCAAACTGCAGGAAAAGGATGCTTTGGGGAGGGGAGGGGAGGTGGAGAGGAGTGTGTGTGTGTGGGGGGGGCAATCAGCACCATATATAAGCCCCTTACTGACCTTTATTGGATTCAGTCCAGAAATCTGACTGGGAAAGAGCCGTTACAGCCATTTGGTCGGGACTCCTGGATGATTAGCCGCCTGTATTATGTAACAGAGTCAGTCAGCTCGCTTGGTAATCCAGCAGCGCTTAGGTAACCGAACATCACGCCGTTTTTGAAGCGCTCTCGAAGCAAGACGTGCGCTTTACATAAGGAGGTGACAGTCTCACCAACTGAACACAGGCGGTGCCATTTAGTTTAGTTGCTATCTTCAGCAGATCAAGCCCTTTACAAGCAAACGTCCCGGTTCTGTCCACTAGAACACAAATGAGCCCCCCACCCCCCAATCATAAACCACAATAACAGCATTGAGAGCAAGAAGCGTACTGTGAGGAGGGGGGGGGAGGCCACGTGCGCCGTGCCACCCGTGCCTTACCTGCTCTCAGGCTGAACGGTATCCTGCCCTCGCTCAGGTACGGGAGGTCGCTCTTGGACCGCCCCCTCCGGACAGGCCTGCGGTCAGCAGCGTCCTCCGGGCAGGCCGCCATAGACCCGGAGCCCCGGAGAGCCGCGGCGCTCCACTGCTGGGACACTCACTGCTGCTCCGGGCAGCCAACGGAGAGAATGAATAACAGAAGGGAGAGAGAGAGAGAGAGAGAGAGAGAGCGGACCAGCCTGGCTCTGCTGCTTCCAGCCAATCAGAGCTCAGAGCCCGCCCACTTCACTAGAGAGCAGCTCAGACTGGAGCTACACTTCGCCTAATGCATGTTAAACCACAGAACACTGGGATACTTCATCTCTCATTATTCACCTCTAAAACGAACAGATTAAATAATGCTAATAAATAAAAAATAACGTCTTCACGTGTTTATAAAAACACAAACACTGTGAAGTCTATGGAAGTCCAGAGAGGCCATGAGGTAGTTCTAATTTTCTGGACTGTTGTTTTGAGATAACAAGTTAATTATCTTGTTATCTCAAGATAACTAAATTGCTATCTTCAAATAACAAGATATTTATCCTGTTATCTCGAGATAACAAACGTTATTACCTAAGATAACAGTTAATTATCTTGTGATCTCAAAATAACAGTGTTGTTATCTTGAGATAACAAATTACTATCTTGTTATCTCAAGATAACAATCCAGAAAATTATATGAGATGCGATGAAGTAAGCAGACATTTTCAGAAGGTTTTTAAATGAATATCTATAAAAATCTTTAAATGCAAATGATGCAACAATGCAAATATCTCTCAGGTGAAACACAGCATTTACAGTTATTTTATATGAACATAAAAAAAGATGGTTTTTTGGGCCTTTGCTCATTTTCTGTGAAGAACATATAAAATAACTCATTTTCAGTGTCTTCACTCTGTTCACCCCCCACACATTCATATTACACATGTGGTGTTTGGTGAACCCATAGGGGATAAAAGTGTGGAGGTGCGGTGTCCTTCACTCTGTTCTCCTCCTACATGGCCTGCTGTTAGTGCATGTGGGTGTATGTGTTTGTATATGTGTGTGTGTGTGAGAGAGAGAGAGGGTGGACAACATGGACAGGCTGCTGACTGGCTACAGCTGCTAAAGGAGAACCCTACACTGGACACTTGTGATATTTTAAACATCTGGTATTTTTACATAAATTGGCTGTGTCGATTTAAAAAACAATAATGCGGTGGGTCCACCAGACCACTGAGTAACAAACACATCAACACCACACAAGGGTTGAATTGTTCTTTGCATGGTGAAACGGTTCTTCAGATTGATGGAGGATGTGTTGTATATGGTTCTATATAGAACCTGTTTGAAAATGGTTCTACATACCAAAAAGTATTCTGCTGTTGTTATGAAGTTAAGCTTGTTACAATGTAAGAACCTTTTTGGTGGTGTAAGGAACTATTTATAACACATTCTGAAGAACCATTTCACCATGCAAAGAACCATTTAGCATGAAAAGACTTCTAAATAGAACCATTGTCTTTACTACAGAACCATTGAAGAACCATGTGTACAGGGTAAAAGACAGATGCCACTTTTTCATTAGTTTTATTTCTTGACATTTTTCAGTGTCAGAAAAAAGAAAAGAATACATGCAGTGTATTTAGCAGAAAACTACATAGAACACTCAGCATTAAAGTACACTATTAAGTCTATTTGGAAAGTCAAAGGGTAAAAGTGAAAACAGAAATAAATAGAAGTTTCCAGGCCTGGAATTCAAAAAATGATTAAAAGCTACAGAGAAAATGGGACTCCTAGCAGCCACCTGGAAGACCTGGTAGACATCAAAACTGCCCCCATCAGATAAACAGCACCTAAAGCTTTCATCTTTGAGAGAGAGGAGAAAATCAAGCTGCTTCAGATCTGAGAACATCCACAGGTGTTTCTGTCCATCCTTCCACTGTGAGAAGACGACTCAGCACTATGGGTCTGAAAGTAAAAAAAAGAAAAATAAATAAATAAAAAACAAAAAAAACTCCAATTCCAGACCTCAGTATCGTTGAATATGTTTACTTGATTGGGAGAAGCAAAAAATGCAAAACCAGCTTCTAAGACTGAACTTGCAAGATGGGCAAAAACATCCTTTCAGATCTCTTTGAAAACCCGAAAGCTCCTGAAGCCTCTCAAAAAGAACACAATAAAGGACGCTGTAATAATTAAGAAGCTGTAATAAAGGCAAAGGGTTGACACAGTGAAATATATATATATATATATATATATTCTGAGGTTTGTGATAGACTGATGGCCTAAAAGACAAAACAGTATAAAGAAGGTAAGTTTAAAAGGTTTTTTTTTTATTAAGGTATCACATGAATAAGAATTTATTAATTCACATAAAGTATATAAATATGTTTGTTCTGTCATTGGCTGAGAGGTTGGTCAACTTGGCCATAATGGTCATACTGGAAAAGCTGGTTGACCTGCTTAGTCATGCTAGTCAATCAACTTGTTTAAGCTAGTCAACTGCCTTGGTCATGCAAGTAAGTAAAACCAGACACAGTAGTGACATGTTCAGTCTCGTCCTCATCTTTGAAGATCCATGGATCCTGGAAAGTTTGCAGGAGTGATCAGTATTTATTGCACTGGTGAGTGGAGGTTGACTTTTGTTGGTTTCCTGCACACAGTGACGTTGAGAGCAGCGTGGAGGTGGATCACTGTAGACTTTGTTGCCTGAAAGTTAGAGACTGACCCAGGGAGCAGAGCTTTCTTTTTTTTTTGGTTGGTTGGTTTGTGTGCTTTGGTTTTAGGATGTCTACCTGTTAAAAATCAATTATACACCCCTAATGTAGTCAATTAGGCAAGACATGTTTGGTGTCTGAAGTTGGCTTCTTTAGTTTTGTACCGGAGCTACAAGGATAATATAGCAAAAAGTAATAAAGGCTTATACTCAGCCAAATAGCACAGCGTCCATCTCCTGCCTAAATCATCACACGCTTGTCTCAAACCACGTTGAGTTAATTCTGTGGTACATTATGAGATAACAGGGGTCTTATCTCCATTTCCAGCTTCTCAGACTGCATGGGATGTGACTGAAATGTCAAATTCTGTGGCAGACTGTGCGACATCAGTGGTGCTCTTGGGCTAAAAGTCTTTTTAAAAGATTTTTTGGATCAAGGCTTATGCATGTAGATGATGACATTCTGCTTGTGCCTTTTGTTTTTTTTTGCAGACAAAACTGGGTCTTGTAACAAAAAAAGGCACCAGTGGCACATTTTGTAGAAAGAAGAAAGTTTGGCTGGTAAAAATAGGCCAAGATGGAATGCCTCTTTTCCAAAGTGAGTAGGCCAGTTTCAAGGCAGGTCACTCTGTAGACAGGCATGTCAAACTGGGGACCGTTTAGGCTAAAGTGCTGTGGATATTAGCCTTTACCCTCATCTGAATCAGCTGAATCAGGTGTGTTTAATGAGGCACCGTGCTGAAGTCTGCAGTGTTTTAGCCCGTCAGGACTGGTGCCTGACACATGAGCTCTAGTGCTCTATGCAAACTGAAGGCTGTGACAGGCTAATGGCCCTTATTCATCGGTCAAATCTGATCATAAAACGAGTGCACACAAGTTTAATCAACAGTTTTGATATTCAGTTTCATCTTTGGCGTATCTGTACCATCAAACTCACGTTTGGCAGAAGTGCATGTCATTTTTAACATAACAGGCTGTTTAACAGCCTGAAAAAAATGCTAGATTTGCGGTTAACTAACCAAAACTATTATCAATATCATCCACATGTGGGAGTTGTGGGAGAGCAAGGTGCAACTTGGAGGCCAGCTATTGTGACAGTCTGTCCATTAAAGCACAGGAGGATGAATAAACACACAGAGACATGGACAGTTGCTCTGTATGTAGCCTTCCCTAATGTTAATGGAGATATTTTGCCCAGGTACAATATGTATAAGTCATGTAATAGGCCATATTGATGTTTACAATAATGAGTAAATGCTCCTCTTTTAAGGAAATGTATGACTCTTTTGCATGGTCACTTTATGGCTCTCAACTGGTCAGGGCAAGCCTTTCCTATTTATTTCTTAATAAATGCCTTAATTAATGTCAGTACATTTTTGCAACAGGCAAAATAAGTACACTGTCCCTTTTCAGAGATTCATGACTCGCCCTGTTGCATCGTTTTAGTGGTCATTTCACGACCCTTTAACTGGAGATTTACGAACTTTCAGGGGATAAAAAAGACACTTTTATTTTCTATATATATTAATTTTTATAATCTGAGTCAGGAAATGTGTGATATTCTTGTGGAATCTTTATTCGGACCGGATACAGCCCGCTCTGTACGTCCACACCCCGTCGCCTATGTGAGGAAACAAGTCAATTAAATTGAGTGTTAATATAGCATGGGTTATTGTTCCTCCTATATATTGTGGACCTTAAAAAAAGAACTGTCCTCGCTTAGAAGAAAGGAAAATATCAAAATTACCTCAAAACATGCAATTTTTTTACGCATTAACAAACATTATAATGTGTTTATGGTCGGGTCTGTGTTTTAACCAACCCCTTAAACTTGATGTCATTAAATAAACAGAATATGGTACAGTTGATCAGGATAAGGTTCACTGTAGAATAAGGATGAGGATGGGAAACAGGAGGATAAAGATGTGGAGGACGAGGATGAAGAGGATGAGGATGTTTTATCCACAAACAAAATACATAACATATAAATGAGGACACAATTCAGCAACTGGGATACAAACTTAGAGTGTAGCAATACAAGCATACACAGCAGAATAAAACTGTGAAATACATGCTTACATAAATACCTGATATAGGCACTCACACATTTATGCATCCAAGCAAAACACAACAACCAAACACCCCTCAGTCCACATGGCAATGCTCAGTGCATGATAAGAAAATGGCTGCCTGTGACTCTCCAAACTATAAGCCCTGCCCTTTCTTGTGGCAAGGACTCATGGTCTTTGGAGTTCATGCCTGCTCCCTCGGGAATTTCCAACACCAATAATAAGAATCAAACTAAAAACAATACTGCATCTGTTTGCATGATAATCCAGTACACAAGCTGTTATT